ACCACAGGAGTGAGTGGGGATGGGACCGCACGCGGTCACTGCAGTCTGCACTCACCACAGGAGTGAGTGGGCATGGGACCCCACGCGGTCACTGCAGTCTGCACTCGCCACAGGAGTGGGGATGGGACCGCACGCGGTCTGAGACTGCACTCACCACAGGAGGGGTGATGGGACCGCACGCGGTCACTGCAGTCTGCACTCGCCACAGGAGTGGGGATGGGACCGCACGCGGTCACTGCACACTGCACTCATCACAGGAGTGGGGATGGGACCGCACGCGGTCACTGCAGTCTGCACTCACCACAGGAGTGGGGATGGGACCGCACGCGGTCACTGCAGTCTGCACTCACCACAGGAGTGGGGATGGGACCCCACGCGGTCACTGCCGTCTGCACTCACCACAGGAGTGGGGATGGGACCGCACGCGGTCACTGCAGACTGCACTCATCTGCACAGGAGTGGGGATGGGACCCCACGCGGTCACTGCAGTCTGCACTCACCACAGGAGTGGGGATGGGACCCCACGCGGTCACTGCCGTCTGCACTCACCACAGGAGTGGGGATGGGACCGCACGCGGTCACTGCAGTCTGCACTCACCACAGGAGTGGGGATGGGACCCCACGCGGTCACTGCAGTCTGCACTCACCACAGGAGTGGGGATGGGACCCCACGCGGTCACTGCAGTCTGCACTCACCACAGGAGTGGGGATGGGACCGCACGCGGTCACTGCCGTCTGCACTCACCACAGGAGTCGCCTGCACATGAGGGGGGTTGCCACCCCCCCCCAGGTAGTTTTTCTGCTCTGCACTCAGCATTTTTAAGCTAGAAGCCCGGTTTTTCGTATAGCTGCTCCTCTATCCTTTTTTGATGTCCACTGAAAATTTCAGTTTCTGTAGTTTTTGGTTTTGGAGATATGACCTTATTTTTTCAGGTCACGTCATGACGCAAATGACCAATTCTTAACCCACGAGCCGCTCGGGGGGGGGCATAAAGTTGCCCCCCCCCCTTTACGTTTTGTGAAATATCTCCGAAACCTGATGAGCTACGAACGTGAAACTTGGCATAGCTTCAAATGAATACCTAGGCAATGTTTGAGGAAAGTTTGGTGGTTGTAGCACCTAAGATGACGTCACAGTGACGTCATAAAGTTTTGTCGTTTTCCGATATGGACCGTTTCTGATGACGCTGAGCATGAAACTCAACTGTAAATGAACTAGACAGCACCTGCTGTCATCCTAAAACATCTTACTACACTTCCATCTAGTTTCTGACCAATAATCGGCCCTTTATATTCGGTCCCATATATGTGAGGGGAATATTTGTTTCTGGTCCCTAAAAAGCTGTTTCTGGCACCTAATTGCTGATCAGCCCCAAAATGCTTATTCGACCCTAATATCTGAATCTGGCACCTAATTACTTCCACACAGCCTAAAGTTGCCAGATCGTCTAGTTGAACTCCGTATTTGCTGTTTGCTGATTCAGCACCAAAACCAAAACATCCAGCACCTATTTTATTCCACGTTTGCCTACCTAATTCGCGTAATCTTCCTGATTTTATGTATCCTAACAACATGAACGTTGCATTCGGTGATGTCAAGTGCCATTTTCGCCAGTGGAGATAATGATTAATGCCATTTCTAGCCAAAAGAGAATCACTAACCAGCTATGGTGCAGCATAGCAAGACGCTCCTATACCAGCCCGCTATGTAGAGACTAGAGATTATTGCACCCTCAGCCATTTTAACGTGAGAAGTTTGGATCCGTCACTTCCAGCCAGGCTCTCAGGTCATAAACTGGAGTAAAGCAAAATGTCAACTCTGAACAGACATGCCACGCAACCGGCCCTCTTTTCAATATTATTAGCTTTCTGCAATCATCGTCTGACTCCATCTCGAACAAACGCAGCATCCGGTTTCTACAGGGGCGTTTGACTGACCGGCCACACAATAACAAAAAAAAAAAATCAAAGCTTCATGCACACATATGCCATACGTAAGAAACGGATGAAAAAGGCACAACCACGGCACAACTCTGCGCGGCAAACAACGGACAATGTCCCACGCAAGATCCTGCGTTTCTTCAGCGGCCTTGAACGGAATGAAAACATTACATTTCTTTTTTGGAGCTATTTGATGGCGTCAAAAAATACAATACCCGTTTTAATGGTCAAAATCGAGACAATTACTCACAAAAATGTTTCCCTTTAAGCATTACAAATAAATACTTTTAAATATTTAAATGACATTGCTTTTTTCAAACAAATTAATATTATTTGCTTACTTAAATGTCATATACAATGCTGAGATCACTACGGGGCTGTCTTAGAGTGTAGCTGCACTGGCAACCTTTAGGCTAGACTCCAGGGGTCATTATACCAGAACAACATGATTCTACCAGCCAGTAGTTCATTTTTCTACTAGATTGGTGCTACGCTCAGCATTTAGGTGCCAGATTCAGAAAAAAGAGTAAGGCGCACCGATGAATAGGTGCCAGAAACAGCTAATTAAGGTCATTTTCCATGATTGGTGCTGGTATCCACCAAATAGGTGCTGAGGACCAATTTTGGGGCGAGTCAGCTTTTAGGTGCCAGAAATAGCTTTTCTGGGACGCAATTAAATGGCGTCCTATATGTGATGTATCGTGAGGAATATGAGAGTCGCAAATCTATAATTTCACTTATGACGTCACTGTGACGTCATTTCAAATGGGATCGACACCAAATTTGGACACAACCTCGGCTAGGTATTCAGGAAGATGTATGCAAAGTTTCGCTTCTCTATCTCTTCGCGTTGCGACGATATCGTCGCAGAAGTAAAGGGGGGGGGCAACTTTATGCCCCCCCCCCCAGCGGCCGGCGGGTGGCGCGGAGGCCCAGCGGCCGCCGGGTTAACATCTTGCGTTGACTATGAGCCTTGTGAGCTTTTGACACCTTGATTTCGGCCTTTTTTGCCATTCTTACCTCCCACCTATAATGAAACATGTTGTTCGACGATGTACAGATGTCAAGGTCAGGGTCAAGGTCAACCTAGGTAGTAGGTCATCTAAAATAATTGCGTTTTTGGTAAGCTGAATGTACTTTTCGTGAAGTTTTTTGACTGCATTTTTGGTAAAGGCTTCTCAGATCATGATTTCATGTAATATGGACACATAAACAATCGGACTCGGTGCACACATCAGTATAGGTACACACAGACACACACAAGCATACAAACACTTATCGTTGACCTAGACCTAACTTGACCTGAAATGACCTCAGCAGGCGCAGCAAAAACCTGGTCGGGTAGTGTGACAAAGAGGTTCTAGCTGGCTTGGCACCAGAAAACGGCATCATCATCGGTATATGATAAACAGCGCACTTGATATCCAGCGGTGACCCAAAACAGCAACATTTTTTAGTTTGACGTGACCTGGAAAGGCAATGACTGACCTGAGAAGGTAAAACTGGGTATCATTGGATTCGACTCTTCCCAAAGAATCCTTTTGGTCGATACCGCGAAGCTCTATCTCCAACAGGAACGAAATTACGGGGGGGGGGGTGGCAACCCCCCATGTGCTTCTACATATGATGGGAAAATGGCATGTGCGGGCGAAGGTTAATCATTATTACTAGCTGAACGATAATGCACCTATATGAAAGAGCTCGCTGAGAACTACATTTTTGCAATTTACATGCTATAAGAAATATGGTGGAAGGGGGGGGGGCGGATTCCGCCCACCCCTCCTGTTTTTCGCCAATAACTCGCCCGCAAACACAATGTTAATGTGAAATTTTGGCTGCCTGTCCAGAATTGAATTGCTGATCTTCTCGTGCAAGAATAAGAAAATCGGTTCGCAACTTTTCTAGTAATAGCGGTGTAAAGTCAAACATCTTGCCGCCGCGGCGGCGCGGCGCGGCGGCCGGCGCCTAGCCGTTACGCGCCGCCTGAATTGTAGACTGTACCGGGGCGGGACGGTTCCGTCTTTACATCGCGCTCCTCATAGGCTAGGAACAGGGGGGGGGGTGCCGGGGGGCCATGCCCCCCCCCACTTTCGGAGGTGGGGGGCCAGTAATTTTCACTCCCCCCCCCCACTTTTTGCTGACTTGAGTGTCTGTCTGTACCTACGGTATAGTATGTCTAAAAAGAATGTCCCCTCGCCACCACGCGGCGCTGGTGTCGCGAGCCCAGAGGTGAAACAAAGGCCGAATCTTCCACCGACAGCGTTTCTTCCACCACTAGATTTCCACCAAGTTTCCACCTTAATAGGTAAATAGTAAGTGAGCTGTTGCCTGTTTCTCACTACCGCAAATGTAAAAAAAAAACTTTTTGTCCCTTTGATAATATGGCTATACTTTAACGATATACCACTTATTATGTTTTATCAACATTATCACCAATCTGACAACCATTTAAAGGGACCCTCCCACCTTAACATTAGATTTGAGTTGAGATAGCCAAAATGGGGTCCCTGGCTCACAATTACCGGTTTCGGCACTCACAACATCGAGAAATGCCTTAAATCGGAAATATTGAATTTCAAAATTGCAGCATTTTGATTCAGAGGGGCTAATGCTTAGGAATACCCCTCTGAATGTGTGACGTCAGCGCAAATATCTAACGATTTTTAAATGTTTGACTAAAACGTTTTGTAGCACGCGGTGGTATATGCTATTTGCGCGCAACATCTGCCGCAAACGCCGCACTTCTAAAATAAAGTCGCTAGAAACAGCGGAGATCCCAAAAAAGTAAACAAAAGTAAAAGTCTAATATCTTGAAAACCGGTGAATATTTTTCGGTGAAATTTGGTAGATATTCGTTTTCGCTCTTTCTGAACCGAGCGACATCACTTTCATGCCAATTCATAAACTTTTTTGAAGGTGGGAGGGTCCCTTTAATGACAAGAACGCTTCACGGCGATATTGACTTATAGTGAAACTGAGCGGTCACTTACCTACTTGTCAGTTAGGTGCTCGGCACGTCATTTTGTCTCATTCGAAGAAACCGCTAACACGTCAGGAGGTGACCGACAACGTGTATTCAATGTTCAAGAGAAACAAACACGGACACAGTGGTGCGCATTACCTATAAGCCCAATACAGTCATGTTCCGGAAATGCGCTTAGATGAAAGGGAAGAACATGTTAGTTCATGGGCCAATGCCCGAATCTACACCAATTTATATAAACTTTGGGCCCTTATTCTTTTAAAATGTCTATACATTTTGACATTTTGATGAACAAAAACAATATAATCATCTTTTAGTTGAAACTCCGTCTAGTTTGGAACAAAAACAACAGAATCAGACAACAGACAATCAGACAGACATCATCAGACAATCAGACAAAACAACAGAACGTTTCTCTCCCCCAGCCTAATCCATTGTTATGGTCAGCACGCCAAGGCGATACAAATATGATACAAATGATACCGTATGTAGGTAGGTACACCTACCGTTCGCTAACGGTCAGCCCAGATATCCCAGCACGACCGCAGCTGTAACAGCACTGGCCGCCACTGGCAAATGTCGACTGCATGTAAAGCGAGAAAAGGTTGGTGCAATTCAGTAGCTCCATGCTTGAAAGCAAAAACCATTTCCAATTCCAGGGCATTCTATCAGACTTCACCTCCTACCATTTCTAATTGTGTACATAGTCTTCGGAAAACTTGGGTTGGCGACGCATCGAAGTAGGCTCTATAGCTTGCTCACCTGAAGACAGTTGTCCTGCGGCATGTTGTACTCTTATGCCGCCTGACAACCGTCCCCTCTATAGCCGTCCTTGCGTCTACAGACCCTCTTACAAAGGAGTTGTTATATCGGCACTGCACGGCCTCAACAAGGTCCCCACTGTGGTGCACATCAGGCCCATTCCAGCGAATCATCAGTTCACGCTCGGCATTGCGGTGGTCGAGTTGCCTGTGCACGCCGTATATGTCCCCGACCACACTCGCCATGCTCTCCACTACGGACTCTGGGGGACTCAGTAGCCACAGCCTGATGACTAAGTGGGCGTACCGCTCGAACGTGCGGCTGTCGGTGGCCTCCTTCAGCAGGGCCTGCAGCAACTGCTGGTTGCTCGCCCCCGCTGGCTGGCCGGTGAGGAACCGATACACGGTCATAATGTCCTCCTCGTCCACGGCCGCACTGACTGGCACCATGCGCTGGCTGACGAGGTTTTCGACGCTGCGTCGCACGCTCTTCAGGCAGTCGACATTCCTCACCTGTTGGAGAGACTTCAGATCGGCGATGATCTTGGCATCGCTTACGGCCCACTGCAGTTTGCCGTTCATCGCTCCTTTCGCGTTCCCTCTTACATCAAGCCCGCGACTGCGGGCACGCGCTCTGTCGCAGAGGGCCGCTACGAACTTCAGAATCGATGCAAGCTGAGAAAAAAAGACATCCTGGGTTTAGGTAATCATACACGTCGGCAGACTATGACACCTACGTACGTAAAAAACGTATAGGTGGACGTGGGCCTTCAGTTATAGGGTAAATACGCTGACTTAACTTCGAACATTAAGGATGTCAGGTAGGTAGGTAGACTATATCAAAAAGTCAATTCAGCTAAATGAAACCATTATAGTCAAAATTGATGTGAAAATGATCAATAACGCGTCGGACCAGACCAGTTAAATGAAAACAGACACAGATGAAAAAATCAACCAAAATAATTTATTCGTGAAGAGTTGGCAATTCCTTTCAATCGTTTTCCCGAAAACTGGACACCGCTCATGAACGTTTCTCTCCTAAGTCGTGACTAGCCAACAATCAAGGTCATGTTTAGTTCGAGCGCAACAAACAAAACTTATTATTGTTATAACTTATTATTGAAAGGGATTTGATGATAACACACCCTGGAGGGGGGGGGGCAGAATCTGCCCCATTTCTATCTCGGCTCCCACAAGAGCTAGAAGGTCGAAATTTGGATAGCTTTTATGTGCAAGTTCTATCACTCCAAGTCAATATCAGTAAGGTCACACGAGGTCAAATTTGGCACATCACGACGCGGCTTTGCTGAAATTGTATTGATCTAACGAGTCTTCTCGAAAAAGGAAGCATTTAGGTACATATATATTGAGGAGGTAACGAAAGTGGACTCTCACTTCACCGATATGAAAAACAATCAGATATATACGAATTATAAACGTTGATGGAGTCATATTATCACATTGAAAGTTTCAAATCGATAGCTTGAAAATGTGGCCACGGCACAACCGGAAAGGTGCAAAGTTGACCTTTTGCATGTCCGAAATTCGACCTGATCTGGTGACCTAGGCTTAGGTGACACGGGGTCGTTAATTGTACCCAAAGTGTGATCCAATTCTGGTAAGGTCCTGAGAATTTGGCGCCGCAAGGCCGTTTTTTCGCATCATCAAAAAAAAAAAACATTGTGGGATAGACACACCGCGCACTGAAAGCAGAGCGCGGGTTAAAAAAATCCATCGGGTTAAAAAAAGCATAACGGCGCCAATCGATGTAGAAACTAACGTAAAACGACGCATGGCGACGCAAAAAAAAACACATTTATCGTACCTGATCATCGGCGACAGTTGCTAGTGACGACAAGACCGGCCACCTCTTCTTCAGCTCGCCTTCGTCGTCCAACTCCACGGCGTCCTGCATCTCCGTGAAATTATCCAGCATCGTGGAGAACATCCTCTGTCGCTCCCAGGGGAGAACCTGCAGGTTCTGCAGCGACTTGCTGCCCTCCGCGAGCACGCCGTAAATGTCGCACAAGGCTGCCAGTTTGGTCACGAACGTCGGGTCTGTGGAAAAAGAAGCATTTCACTTTGACGCGGGTTCTTATCTAGCAAATCCGCCCACGTTGAATATAAGGGATAAATTTGTCATTACTGAAGTACCATACCACATACGATACCAGCCAACCACTGGCGGTCAGCAGCAGCAGGCAGCGACAAATGCATCTTGGTACAGAAGTGTATACCTGACTAGAAATTGCAGGGCGAATACTAATTGCATTATGTTTCGACAGTTGAAAACAATCATTGCTTCTCATCAACGCCAACGGTGCATAAAATAGGTTATGGAACATAAGCACAAAAACAGTACATTAAAAAGGCTGCATAATTGCATCAACAGCCAGAGTTATCTTCATATTTAAAACTAGATTGATGAATTAATTACACGATGGCTGTTAGCCAAAGTACAAAACGATGAAGAGAATTGCGCGAGCCTTACTACTCCGACAACAGGTATACACATTTCCAATTTGTATACCCATGAAAAGCTTACCTCGAAGCAGCCGGAGATCTCGCTGTTCGCTGCCATCGGTGTCCCCTGATTTGATTTGCTGCTCCAGGGCGTCTTCCATCACTTGCAGGTTGCGGAGGAAGACTTCCAGCGTCTTTGCTGCGTAAGGGGCGAATCTTGTCCCCGACCACAGCTTCGGTCGTACCACCTTCTCGCCCCGATCCTCCCCAGCATTGAGAAGCCTTTCGAGCCCTTTGCCCACTGTTGTCGCGGAGGCGCGGAAGGAGAGAGAGACTGAGCGGGCCGAGACTTGTATTCCAACTGTAGTTCTGATTCTGATTCGCCAGTGCCTGTGCGTTATATGCAGGGTGGTTGCACAATGAAGGACCGGTCCGCCGACCCGCCGGGTCGGTGGACGGTGCCGACACGTGGGGAAAGTGACGGCTATTTCTATGTAACAAAGCTTGAACGTGTACTCTCTTTATCATGATATGGAAGAAGGGAATCGGTCCCACATTATCTTCCCTCCCCCAGGGAAGCGTAGGGAACCGAAGCGATCATAACAAAGAGAGGAAACGTTTAGCTGACGGAGAAAGAAATTTCCATATGAGCGTATCACAAAATGGTATGAACAGATAAGTAAGTTTCGTGACAATTACACCTACTACCGGGCGATCCCTCCGCACTCTTGGCGGGGACCGTCCCTGGGCATCTCCATGGCCCTCGGCATCTCTGGCCGAATATCAATACAATATAATTTCAGTGAATTGACCACGATTAACGTATTTGAATGTTCATACCGACTTCAGAATATGCTCTTTTTATGCTTATAAGTGTCAAAGTGACACTGCAAAATGCAGGTAAAAATTAAGCGCATTTGCAATTTCTCCGTAAATTTTGGGGTGAGCAACCACAATGAAGCACAACAAACGACAGAACACTGACGAAAACGGATAATGAAACAGTACGGTTTTTAAAACACATCGAAGTTAAAACAAATTTCACAGCACAATTTCACTGTCACTTTTTGACGAAAATACAGCAAAAGTTCATAATGGGTGAATTTTCTTGATTTCGGTGCCAATTTCTCTTGAATTTAGCGTTGAAGTTTTTGTTTTATCTTCTCTCCTCCGAGCTTGAGTCTTTCAGCGAGGTGGTGTCCATCACTCGATGATGCTGAGGAGGACGGCGCGGGCTGATGAGCCGTGCGCTGTCGGCGGGCTCCGTAGCGAGTCCAGGGCAGCTGATGACGTTACCGCAGGGCAGATGGTATTGCCGGGCAGAGCTACTCACTGGAGACGGTGATGTCGGACGATGACGAGTCCAGGATGGTCAGCTCCCTAGTCGATGACGTGACGTAGGGGCGATACACCGTCACGGAGCACGGACTAACCAGTCTGCGATGTCAGTGCAGATGTAGAGGCTGGGGTCCGTGGTGAGGGGCACAAGTCCCCTCGACCGCCGCTGCCACCATTGTCGCGAAGGCGCGGATGGAGAGACGACTGAGCGGGCCGAGACTTGTATTGCAACTGTAATTCTGATTCTGATTCGCCAGTGCCTGTGCGTTATATGCAGGGTGGTTGCACAATGAAGGACCGGTCCGCCGACCCGCCGGGTCGGTGGACGGTGCCGACACGTGGGGAAAGTGACGGCTATTTCTATGTAACAAAGCTTGAACGTGTACTCTCTTTATCATGATATGGAAGAAGGGAATCGGTCCCACACTGTGTAGCGCTTGGTGATGCCTGTCACCTGAGCGATGACCTTCTCTACCCACTCACAGCCATTTGAACGTCGCGCGTCATCTTCGGCCAGGTTGAGCAGGTGAGCCCCGTCCCACAGCACAACTACTGACGGGGCCGTATTGAACCGTGGGTCCGTGGCCCTGAGCCGACTGAGCAGTTTCTCTGGCACTCGGTTATGGTGATACTGCCCATCCATGCAGATTGCAGCCAGTTTGTCTGGGTGAGTCACTCCGACCTTAACCAGAGACTGACAGAGCTCATCAGCCAGTCCATCTCCACTGTGGTCCTTTACTACGGGCGCAGCGACTACAAACGATTGGATCATGTGACCCGCAGGCGCCCCACTAACCACAGCTATCACGGCGGTTATGTCGATGGTTCGCTTTGCGACGGTCACCTTGTCTGCGCACATGGAGACGCATGGTTGCTGCTCAATGAACCTCTGCAGCATACTCGTCATGACAGTCGAGAACTGCAGCCGCATTGTAGGGACAAACATGCTGGAGTGGTTGGTGTTACCCACCCTCGTGCCATTCTCCGCCTGGAGAACGACCAGGTCCTCAAACGAAGCCCTTGGCAGGGACCGTTTCAGGACGAAGTACCCCGTGCGAAGGACGTGACTGGCGGCGCTGGCGTTCCGCGCAAAACGTCCTTTCGCCAACTCGTCCGTTTGTTTTTTGGCGAGTACGGTTTTTCCGTGGTGTAGGCCACAAAAGTGACTCCTGATGGCCGCCCTCAGGTGCCTGAACGATGATGGGAGAGACTGACCATCTGCAAAACTGGTTCCCAGATTAAAGTCGTAGGTGAACACACCTTTTGCGCCCCTTCGACGCACAGCGCCAGACGGCACACATGCAGAACAGGCGATGAGGCCTTCATCTGGGGACTGAGTGAGAAGGTTGTCTGTAGCAACCTGGAGGGCGGCGATGCTTCTCCCCGAGCGTATCAACAGTTTAGCTGCCTCCGATGTTTCATCCGTTCTTTTCTGACCTATCTTAGCAGTAGTCACGCTGCCCTTTCTGAGAATGTCGATGATCTCGTTCAACTTGGATTCATTACGTTTTACTTGCAGGGCAACGCTCTTCATGGCAGAAAACAGATCTGCTAACTCCCTACTGGGTCCAGCAGGGGCAGCGCCATCACCTCCACGGGCTTCGGAAGTGTTGTTTGCAGGAGGGTTGTCACTGTCTTCTGCTTCCAGCTGGACAGATTCGTGGACTGGGGACATAGGTGGACCACAGTCCATGCTTTCAGCTGCCGCGGCTGTCGTCTCTCCACTCTCCAGAGCTCCATCAGAAGCCTTAAAAAACAGACGCATTAATTGTCACTGGAATGTCAAGCAGCCAGTCCAAAACAGCAAGAAATCGCTAGCGGTACAGCCTGAGCCTTGAGAGCTTTGTGTAACATATAGTTTTACGCGAGAAGGTAGATGCGCGTTGTGAATTAGGAATAAATGATTTGGTGTGGGAAAGAGATAATTCCATATTTTTGGGAATGGAACATAAGATCATTGGATCCTAAAAAAAGATTATAACAAGCAAAAGTACCTAACCAAAACTAATCTAACCTGACCTAACCCCACCTAACCATACCTGACCGAGCGTTTGGTCATGATCATGTGAAACTTACAAAGTTTTGCGTTAAAAGTATTGTCAGTATGGATGTGAGGTGTCACCTTTTAACACGTGCCGGGCCGAGGTGGGGGGGGGGGTGAAAGGGGAGGGGGGTTGAGCACTAGCTGCGGTTTTTTGGCAGAGCTATTCATGCATCTTTTCCGCATAGGTTGTGAGAATTTCAGACCTGGGTCATTCAATGTCAGGTCAACAGGCGACTTTGAGGGTGTGCGTGTCAAACAGCGACTTTAAAGCAGTGACGTCACGCTACTCGATCTGACGGGAGGGTACGACCGTCGCTTGGAGTACGCATGGGAGGTCTTTTTTCAGTTGCTAACATATCCTTGCGTGGCATTCGGCGTACCTGGGACACGCCCCCTCCACCCTGGAAAAACGCCATTCCGCAAGTGGACCTCTCACTATCGACTGTTAAGAAGGACAACTTGTTGCCTGCTGAGGCGCGAGCCAGAGCCTTAGAGCACATTGCCGTTTATGATGGTTTTATCACGGTTTATACAGACGGCTCGAAGACAACCGAGGGAGCGGGCTGCTCTTTTGTCGCTGGTCGTGACACCCGCTCGTTTTCTCTGCCACCGTCCGCCCCGGTATTTTCTTCAGAGTTAGTCGCTATAGAGAAGGCTTTGTGTTTCATCAAGGTTCCTGGCAATCCCTTTTACTTGATTTTATCTGATTCTCTAAGCAGCTTATTGGCCTTACGTAGTTTTAACTCAGCTGACCCCATCGTACGGGACATTTTAACTCGGCTTACGTCGGTGGAGCAATCTGGAAAATCAGTCCGTTTTTGCTGGATTATCCGTTCGGTCAACTTCCAAGTGATTTACTCAACCTGACCCAATTCCTCTCAAAGTCTACTTGCCTAGTCAGTTGACTGTTACGACGGTCTTGCGTTGTTCTATCTTACCTTGTCGTTTTTATCAAGTCTTTTACTGTCAAGCCTTGGTATATAGAAGGTTTCTTTTGAAACACTTGTTTTATTAGTGTGACGTTATGGGCGCAAAATGACCTTCGCAGTCGGCGCGCCCTAAAAGCCCCAATAAACAAACAAAAAAGCGACTCACTCAAAACGGTAATTGCATTTTGAGCGACGTCTAGAGCAACGACTCATACGCTTGAGCGATTATCTAAAACGGCGATCCGTAAAAGAGCGACTTCAGAGGAACAGATCGACTATTCTAAGCTAATGGGGATTGGAAAAGCAAAAATTGGCGATTCCTCGCGAAGTATACCTACTTAAGCTTGCTAGCTTGCTTCGTTCTCGAGATGGCACAGGGGCCGGGGGGGGGGAGCAGGTATTCGCCCCCGTCTACTAAGTTGACGCCAAACCCCGTCGGTGCGCGGGGCTCCGGAGAGTCCGGTTTTTGTCGTGAAAAATCAACAGTTTCAACGACAAATCACTTATGCACATCGAAACGAAAAACAAAGACTTTAAAATTAACTTCTAAGTATGCTACGAAATGCCTACTTCGATATGGACTCCTTACTGTTATTTTCTATTAAATAATACTGCGAAACGAGTGCAATGTGCATTTTACATAAAATGTAGACTGCCAGAAATCGTCAAATTTTGATTTTCCAATCACCATTAGCCTAGAATAATCTGTTTTGTTTTGTTTTGTTGGGTTAGGTCCTTTTGGTCTGACGAGATTATTTCAGGACAGGAAGGTTCTACACGGTGAGACCCGTCCGGGGCCCCAGTGCCGGAAGCAGTCAGCTGTTCGCTGCTTCCATGTCCCCTCGCACGCCGAGCGCGCCGAGCGGGCCGCCGGGGGAGGGGTGAAGGGTCAGCAGGGTCGGCCGGCGTTGTTGGTTTAGCTGGCTACCGGCGTCTCAGGGCGCCGGCCGGTCCCGGTAGGGGTTGGTCGTCATGACAACCGATGGCGGTTGGCAGGGGGAGAAGTAGACGTTAAAAGCATCCGCGTCGGAAAGAAAATAGTCCTGCAGATATTGACGATTTTCTTGCAAGCGAGAGCAGATAGACGCATGCAAATAACACCGTTAGATGCGTCTTTCAAAAATGCATAATTCCTCACGTGAAAATAAATACTTCTCCACAATTAATACACCACAGCGGCTCCAGCGACGGGTACCTACCGAAATTTAAACGGAATAACATGCAGACAGTTCACTCAATGGTCTGGTGACTTCAATGCAGATGCGGTGCAGGTAGTAGAACACTGAGGAGTGAGTGCACAAGGTTTCCCAATCACCCGTAGCTTTTCCCACCCAAAATGATTCATATCATCAGGTACTTACCAGTGGAAGAGGAGCATAGCAGGCAAACTTTGCCCCAGGCTCAAAACCTGAGTTCTTCACTCTAGCATTCTTATGCCCTCCGTGCTTCCTATTGTTATGGATCTTGAAGGTATCCGGCCTACCATAAAACTTGCATCCTGGATGACCGCACCGCACCTTTATTTCAGATGGAGCCAGTCTCTGTCCGTGCAGCTTCCTTTTTGGCATCACGAGGTGTACCTAATCCACGACGAGGGCTCTAACTTATCCACCTCTTCACTTCAACTTATCCGCCAGCCTTTTCCACCACCCCGCAATTCACTAATAACGCCGCGGACCTTCAACACTTCCTTCACTGCCTTGAACAACGCGGAAACTAGCGGAGCTCCTAGTGCTGTTAAACTGTTGAGTGCTAGTGTATGAAATAAATATTTCTTTATGAAATTACATACAAATGCATGAAACTTTAATACTTCAGAATGGTGTTGTAAAATCAAATATTTTGAGGAATTTATCGCATGTCAGAATTTTCTAGTCTTTACAATATTGCTCTTCCACCCTCGTCGCCGCGCCGTCGCCGGTCGTCGGCATTGTTTCATCACTAGCTTTTTTCAATAAGGCCTTAAACTAAAGAAATAATAAGTTATGAGCGAGGAAAAAGGGATTATTGAAATCAGAAAAATCCTTTTTATATTTGACGAGAGTATTGCCGCATTTAACGCAGCAGTTTACTTTATTTTCGCCTTCCACCATATTCCACCAACCAGAACTTCCGGTGAAAAGTCAGTGGATCTGGGGAATTTCTAAGAAGTCTGCGAAACACCTGAATATTTCTCTAGGGTTTCGAGAACTTTTCATAATTATAGGGAAATTCAGGGAAAAAAGATAAAAAGGCTTAGGTTTGATAAAAAAAAATCATTTTTTTTTTAATTTAGATGCTTTCCTTAGACAAGAGAAAGCCGGATCGGGTTTAACAGGCAGAGCATCGGCGGCGGCATTTTTTCCACCATCCAGGATCGCTGAGTTGCTCGATTTTCCACCGCCGTGCGTCGCCGTGACGGCACTTTATTTCACCTCTGCGCGAGCCGGTAGTTGGCTGAATCCGGACCAAGCCACGCATTCCCGTGCGCTGGGCGACAGCTACGCAGTGGCTGATAGTAGCGTAATCCCGAACCTTCGTGACACGACCTCGGGAAGGAGGGAGGGGTGTGGGCGGGGAGCGCGTGGTGCGCTCCCCCGCCCGCTAAGGAGGGGTGCGCCGCGCGGTATAGGCTGGCGGCTGTCTCGGCCAAAGGGCAGGGGTCACACACCAAGCCAACGAGTGCTGATGAGGGTTCGTAGGGACTGTGAAGTTTTGCCACGTTTGACGCGTTTGCTACGGGTGCCACGTTTAGCGACGTGTCTGAGCCAAAAGGGAGGGTTGAAGAAAAACATCTGGTTAACCACATCGTGGTAATAGAGAGTGCCAATGCAGGCCTTCATGACCATAAACAGCTTTTCTAAGTTCGCAAAGGCCACCATTGAATAACAATATCCGATCGAAGTTAACGATGTCGAGCTACTATCGCTGCAAAAACACTCCTGAAAATTTGTGAAAGAAAAATACACTCATTTTTGTTTCTACTATTATAATGTTTTGTTTTAGTTTTCCTTTAATTGATCAGAAAGAAAAACAAAATTGAACTAAAAAGCAAATTTTACCTTATTTTCATAAAGTGAGAACTTTGGATAGTTCATCTTTGGTAGACGCCTAATAAACAATAGTGTTCGTCGAGGAAACTTATAACGCGTTAGCCAGGTCAGGATCAGGTAATATGGCCCAAGGCAAGAAATCGGTTTTTGATAAATAACCGCAAAAATGGCCGCAGAGCCGCGGTTTTGGCATAATCGTTTAATTCGCCTCGCCCAGAGGTGTCGAATGGTAGGCATACGTTTTGTTCGGTTGAGGTCAACTGAGGTTGACGTCAGATCAAGGTCAGGTCAGAGTCACAGGGCACGAAGCTGGTTAACCCGGCAGGCGGTGGGCCTACCAGCCACTTTCCGCGCGGTGGGGGGGGCATTTTTTTGTCCCCCCCCCGTATCTCCGAAACTACTGGACGCATCCGGAAAATTCAAACGGCGTTCGATAGCTCTGTCAAATGTACCAACAGAAACCAAATTTTATTGACCTCGGGGTCACCGATGACGTCACAGGTCAGGTCAAAGATAAAATGTTTCACCGTTCACGGGTCTTCTAGCGAGAGCGCTATAACACCGAGCAAAACGCATTTTGTCGAAAATCAGCGATAAGGCGTCAGTTGTCTAGTACATATGTTGCTATTAGAGGTCACTGGTCATACCAGGTCAGGTCACAGGTCAGGTCACCAAAGGTCACCAAGGGTCACCACATGAGCCCAACTGTACTAAGGTTATGTGATGCATGTTTTATGGCCAGTTTTTCATTTCCAACTCAATGGTGTTGGTTATCCCTCGCCGGACCTATTGGTTTTCTACATACGCGCCGGCCGAGGGGGGGGGGGGGGGCGGGTACGACCCCCCCCTCGCCGTTTCGCCCCTGGTGGAGCTAGCGCGTCGCGGAAAAAACGAGCGTGTGCGCCGTTACGAGACGCAGAGATTGGTACCCGATTTTAAGGTCCTAGGTCAACCGATGACCTCTGAGGTCAGGTCAAGTGCCCCAAGGTACGGTTCAGTTTTTGGTGAATAACTTCGCAAAAAACGGCCGCAGGACGCCGATTTTGGCAGCATCGTGTTCGCCTCGCTCAGGCGCGTCGAATGATATACTTTTTGTCCGGGTCAGGTCAACTTGGGGTGTTGACCTCAGGTCAAGGTCAGGTCAGCACCCCCAGGTCACGAAGTTGGTCGAAAGAGGTCATGTCGCATATCATTCGATTCGGCAGGTCTTCCTGAGTCCATTGGTGGCTTTCCCGACTCGCTAGCTCAATTTGATCAAGAGTTATTGACGAAGAACTAATATGACCTTGATGACGTCATAAATGACGTCACGCAAGGTCAATATTGCAAAAGTGACGCATCGAACCTTGCAAGGAGTGCATCAAATCACGATTCTGTGTGATTGAGATAGTTGGAGGTCGTTCCCGGCGCCAGAATAGCAGTTTGAATTTTTCCCCATTGACTTATAATGGTGAGGTCACGAAAATGACCTGACCTCATATGACCTTTAGGAAAAATCCGAGATATACAAGTTGTGGGACTCATAATGGATACTAGATCCTGCAAGTTTCATTTCCCTGTGACATCTCATCTGGCAGTGAGGGCGTTGCGAAGTTGCGACATCTGAAGACCGTGCAGAGGTTCACTTATGACGTCATAGGTCAGTGACCTGACCTGACCCAAAAATGCAGTTGGTGTCAAAAGATGTGGCTTGGATCAAAGGTCAGGTATGCCAAGTTTCAGCTCTCTATCGCCAGCGTGTTCGGAGCTATCGCGAAAAAACCCTATGGGGGGGGGGCGGCACCCGCCCCCCCCCCTCGGCCGGCGAGGGTTAATATAAGACCATCAGGTACAGTTTAGGTCACTTTCTGGTGGAGGTCAGGTCAAGGTCAGGTCAAAAAGGTCAAATTTCAAAGTTGATATTTTTGTATAAAATGGGTATCGATTCGATGCAGCTCGTCACGAGGAGTCTAATGGTGGTCTTTGTTTTGCGCTACGAGGTCTAGAATTGCTAAAAATTGAGTTTGAAAATTTAACGTCATCAATTTTGAAGGTTTTTCTCTATAACTTGGCCAAAAAAGAGGTATCGATCTCAAATTTGTAATGTAGATAGAAGGTGGTAGGGAATATCACATATAATCCGGTTTTTTCGAAATTCAAAAAAAACTTTTTGGATTTTTTTGGCTGTTATATTCAAAAAATCTATTTTTTATTTTTGGGGGTCAAAATAAAAAAAAATCGAAAACCCGAAATGGCAGTTTTGTATCCCTTTTGATTCCACACCTTTTATGTCTAAAACATTTTTCTGTATCTCTAAAGCTGTAGGCCTAACAGCTCTTCCCGCGAAACCTTTTTTTGGGTCGAAAATGGCAAAAATGACGTCACTCTGACGTCATTAGCGGCCAACTTATCATAGCCTTTGGAAAAAAAATTGTCACCATATGCGCTAGCTGCTCCCGGGAGGGTACTGAAAGTTTGATGACGATCGGCGCAGCGATTCTCGAGATATATCGAAAAAACTAAAGGGGGGCAAAAAAATGCCCCCCCCCCCCCCCACCGCCTGGAAGGTTAACCCGCGCCCGGCTGGGGGTCCTGGATTTCCACGCCCTGCTGGGGGGGGGGGTTTGAACACCCCCCCCTTGTAACTCGGCTCCTGGGCCACGTAGCGATACGCGGAAGGCGGCGTTCGAAAAAGCGTCAAAAATAATGACGAAATCACTTCGGTCAATTTTTTGGTCAGGTCAAAGGTCAGGTCACCAGAGGTCACTGAAGGCAAAATTTCGCCGATTTTCAGGTCGAATGTCGAAAATTTCCAAGAAGCCAACGCATAACTCGAGAACCAATAGAGCTACAGCGCCGCGGAAAAGCGCATTCGATAGCCCTATTAAAGCCCTTTCTGAGAAATTCTCTCAGATTTGACCTAACGTCAACGGTTTTGCCTGCAGGGGGCAAAAATTGCAAAAATAGCCGATTTTTTCGCAAACGGTTTTTCTGCAATAACTTTTGACCCAAGCCTTGTACGAGCTTACTTTTACCGGCATTGTGTTCCTCTCGTCAAGACGCATCGAATGAACTATAAGTTGACCTTGAAAGGTCAACTTGAAAATTTGACCTCAGGTCAAGGTCATGACCTGACCGGAAAGGGTCATGTTGCATATCAGTCGATCCGTATCGTCGAGCTGAACACATCTAAGG